CGTACGCAGTTGCCCGGGAGTCTCCTGCGGGACTTGTGTCGATAAGATGGCGTTACTTCGATATCCCTTTAAGACCCGTCCGTTCGTTCTCATCCCCTGGCATCTTCCTAAGATCGCTATTCTCCGAGGAAATATCCTCTCCTTCCGGGATACCCGTTCCCGTAAAACGCTTCATCTTCATTCGCTCTCGTGTACCGGAAGGGAGTCGGATAGACGGGATAGTTAGCAATTGGAACAAAAGAACATTTTTCCCCTTGATCGACATCGTTGTTCCGTTAAAAATTGGCGTTTGAAATTAAAATAAAAGTGATCTGAAAATAACGATTCTAAAAATCTATATCTCGATCTATATAAGATTTAGTTAATTTATGAGATATTAACAGAGCACGAAATTTTATGTTTTAACTTAAATTGTTTGCAAAGAATTATCTTTAATTTTTTAGTAATTTTTTTTTAGTAATTTTCCCACACAATTACAAATTTGATATTTGTTGAGCTCGCGATAAATATTGATTTATGTAGAAAAATATTATTCAACTATATAGAATTATTTTTTAATAAAGAACTTAATTTGCGTTAAACAATTTTTGACCATTGATAAATATAAAGAAGAAAGTGCCCGATCTGATCTGAAGCAGGAAGAAATAAACGAAGGGAGATCGAATCTATAGGAGAGATCCGAAAATATCTTCTCTTTTTCTCGGCTAAATAATCCCGAGTGAAAGAAGCTACCTCGGTCGATGGATTAGGGAGCGAAGCTTTTCGATGTTTAATTAACGTCGACGGGATAAGCTCCGTTACAAGAAAGCTCGACCGATCGCTAGATAATCGGAGAGCCTCGTGGAAGAAGACCTTTCCGGGGGATATATCTCGATGGTGAGTCTGTTGGGCTCGATAGACGAGCTCTTAACTTAGGATTTAATTTTGATTCAGCTTTATCTCCGCCATCGATCCCGGATTTATGATGATTAATTTGCTTGGCTTACTGTTAATAGAAATTAAAATGGGAACCTTCAATTGACCGCTCTCACTTTATTTTAATATACAATAATTATGCCATTGCCATATTTTTTTTGATAGATTATTTTTCGAATGATAAAATAAATACAAATCAAAAATATTGTACATTATTTTCATAATAATTGGGAATTTGGTATTTCCAGATAATATATAAACACACAATTACATGTTATAATATCATTAATAGGTATTCGTGATAATTCTATTGTATAACTTCTGTAAATTATATATATAAGTTTATTTATAGAAGTTATAAAATAAATTTCAACATATCTCGAATAACTTGTTTTAAAATCGTTTAAAAAAATTTTTTTAATTTTCCAAATTTTTTCAGATAAATTTTTAATCGGTAAATAAAAGGATATCACGCGGAAAAAAACGAAAGTATTAAAAACTTTAGCTGGATACGATTTTGAACATAACTTTATAGTACTGAACTCATCAAAATATTTATGTAAGAAACTCAAACATGATGAGCAATGCTGCAAAAAACTTTGATATTTTAGCAATCAGCTTGAACATATCCTACATAATTATTTTCAGATGTGTATCCAGCTAAATTTTTAGATATTTTAAAACCGTTCTTTCCATATAAAATTCAATATTTTAATCAATATTTTAATTGCTAAAAATATAATAACTCAATACTAATTTAATAATAATTATCTCTGCTTTTTTCTTTCGAGGAAAATTTCCTGTTAGCTTTATCCCTTATGTTTTACAAAAATACATATTTCATGATAATGCATATTTTACAATGTAAATTGGATAATCTACAGTGAGATCTCTGTGCCTGGAGCACGAGTTATATCAATTACCTTAATTTCATCGTTTAGCGTAATTTGCGATATTCAGTTCGCAACAACATCAATTTATGAGTCTCGTATTTCACATATCACAGTCGCTCTATCGAGAGAGATGCACGAGTGATTAATTATCAACGTAGGACCCGACTCCACGGTATTGCGCTCACTCGAGCGTTTGCGGTCACTTCAGCAATAGCGTTCCGGCTGTTAAAACGTTATCTTGATTGGCAGGCACGAAGTAGGTAGCACCGTTGAAATTTAATGGCCCAATGATATTATATTATATATCCTTCATGCCACTACGGCCGTTCGGGATTTTCTGCGGTTACGAGGTGCGCCGAAACTGGGGGAGGGGGGTCTTCGAATTTTGTGGTATCTATGCCGATGCGCAGTGCAGCGCGTCTGGACTTGCGTAATCGATGTTTAGAACCGCCCGGATCAGATTCCTCGCGAATTCCAATTTCGCTCTACTTCATTACTTCCCATCCTCGAGCTCATTCGCGCCATAGAAGATATTCAGTACCATTGCCGTTTCTACAGAGTGTTCTAGAAGTCACTAAATCGGTACAAATTCCACGACAAGCTTTTTTACTGAGCAATTTTCATTTATCACTACAAGTTTATATTTTTCAACGCTAAATGTATCTAAAGTCCATTAAAAGTTCATTTCTTTTCAATTGAGGTTTAAGTAATTATTAAAATCTTTATTTTAATTCTTCAAAACTTAATTTATAAACATCTTTTAAAGACGTACTTTTTATAAAATATAATAGAAAAATTATGAAGTTACAGATTTTACAGATTATAATATACAGATTAAGGCCTCTGAGTAGTCACTACAGCCATATTAAATGACGTCAGAAGACGAAAACTGTGCTTAACCTCTCTGACAGTAAATAATCGTAAAAAGTGATAAAGGCATGTATAAATGAAAATAAGCTGCGCATTGAATAAAAGCACTTTGTGCGCCTTCACTTTTACGATTATTTACTGATTGTCAGAGGGAATAAGCATAAGTTTTGTCCATTTTTGCAAATGTTTTAAAGCAATCTCATCATTTTGTTTTATCCAAATTGCCTTTATGTACATAAATAGCACGTAATAACAATTATCATGTCATTTCTCGCTTCTGACATTATTCAATATGGCTGTGATGACTACTCAGGAGCTTAATTACAAATTTATTTGTAGTATTTGGAAAAAACACAATAAAAGAGTTCGGCGATGATTTAAAACCTGGATCAAAATTATTTCAATAAATTTAAAAAATAATTACGAATAAAATAAGAAAATTTTCATTTAAACTATAAAATTGTTAAATATAAATGACTTTACTGTTCCATATGTGTAACACTCATTTTATATATGGAAAGTAGAAATTTCCGATTATTTTTTGTAGAGATTAGGGGAGACCGAGGCTGATTGTTGTACGGGGTTGATTGTCAAAATGCTTATAACTCAAACAGAACATAGCAGAAAAATCTCTTGTTTTGACTATAGTTGTTCCATCTTCAAATAAACTGTGTAGTAATTTATTTATTCGATAAACAAAAGAATAAAAGAATAAGAGCATAAGAGAGTAAGAAAGTAAGATAGAGTAAGAAAGTGAGCTGAAGTTTATCGAAAAGTGGAACAATCCAGCCTTAGAAGATTTTTGTTACAATTAATTAATCATTATCCTGACAAAGTTTGTGAATACAATATCTTTTATTAAAGATGGCTATGTGGGATTGATCAAAATGAGACGAAGTTAAATGACAATTAATTTTAATATCTTTAGAGAATTTTTAAAGAATATACTTACAAATATATTATATATCATATATATATATATTTTTTTTCTATTTTTTTATATTGAAATGATTATATTGAAATTATGTGCAGTACAAAAACAAAATGGATTTTTATATGATTAGAATAACTATTTTATTTATATTTATACCATAATTATTGTTATTTCTCAAAATACAGAACTGATATTAAAATAAAAATTGTATTTTTTATATACATTGTACTATAACAAACATGCTAATCTCAATAGAATTTGATAATCAACCTAGAACACGGGGTTAGTTGTCACATTTTCACAACTTCATTAAAAATTAAAACAACTTATTTTTACGATGATGAATTTACAAGTAATATTTTTTTCAATACCTAAAAGATGTAGATATATTTTAACGTATATAATATTTTAAAATCAGGCATCCACTTTTTTCTAAAAATTACTAATTAAAAACTATGACAATCGGCCTCTTCCCTATATGTCTGATATTCTGAATGCTTATTTCACAATATCCTTTAAATTTTCGAATTACCGTAATTAAAACAATTGCTATTTTTTTCATTTTATCCTTTCGTATTTGTGATTGAAAGAACTTTAGAATTCTATTATAGAACACCTTATATAACATACATCTTATACATATATACACTTTTTAAATATTAAACAAAATCATGGCATGTTGCCCTTGTTACCTAAAGCCACGCTTGTCGCAAGATTAACGCGAGGGACTCTCAATGGAAAGCAAAGCTTTCGTGTAAAGTCAACGTCATCGTGATTTCGTTACATGCGTTTACCTTATCGACAAGGTATCGTGTCAAAACTGTTACGATAAACCCGTTATTAACACAAGGCAATAAAAAGAAGCAATGCACGCGAAGTCACGGAAAGGAAAAAAAACGAGAATTCCGCAAATAGATCTAAATATACTTAATTATTATGTAACTTGAAAAGAACGTTATCACGAAGTACAAATTAACAAAGTTAGCGCTTGTGAAATCTGCACAAAGATAATAAAAATCAGATTGAATTTTGAAGGAACATAAAATTGTGTTATACTCGTGAAATTAGCAGGTTTATTAAGTTTTGCGAAAAATATACAGCAATTTTGCAACAAACATCTAAGCAAACTAAGCTAAACGCGAAATACAAATTAAATTAAAAACGAATGAGACCGATTAATCTTTCTTCGCGAAATTACTAATATCCATCAAGTCTCTTTTGACTTCATTGTATGAAAGTATAACAAAATACGTAAGTTATAGTACGTTATTGCCTCATTCTGCTGTGTGCCAACAAGTGCGCGGATGTTTATGAAATTTACGTCTTTGCGGCGTTTTCGTTTTATTAACCATGAAGCGATATATGTTGAGCCACGAAATTTCTAACAGTTGTTTACCTTCTCTTACAGCCCTCATGGATGCGGAGTCGAGAATACTGGGACGACAGTTTTGAGACACGTTTCGCAGAGCTGCGGAAAGATCCGACGAGACCACCTCTGAAGGTAAGTTAATTAATCGTTGAAATATTCACGCAAACACGTGGATGGCTCGCGTGAATGTATGTGGTAATCCTAAAATTGGAGTCCAATAAAGTAGCCTTCGTTTGATGAGTATCGTGTTAAAAACATGCAATCATACAATATAATACACTTGTTATAAATTTTCGGAGAATGACGTTCAATCTAATCTATTTACGATAAAAGTTTATAATCGATCAAAATCAATAACGACGTAAATCAATTAAGTATTGAAATATAATAATAAATTAAAATATAAGTATTGAATTATAATAATGAATTAAATAATATTGTATTAAATTTATTATAAAAGATCATGATTATTTAATCGTAAAATTATAAAGATTTGACGAATATATTTATTATCACGAAACTTTTGGTTTGATTCACATTTATCATGCTATTTTATTCTATTCGCATGTTATTTTAATAGCAACGCGTTTTAAATATGCCGCGGTAAAAAATTCAAGATAATACAGCGCAGCTGCCAAGCTGCAGGCGGTTGCAGGTGTTTCAGGAGTAAAGGGATTAATGGATTATTGTATAAAATTATTAGATATGAGAGTAAAGCGATATAAACAGCGGAAATGTCTATGTGTAAATGGCGAATACGAGATATTCGCGTTCGCTCGTGCGAGAGCTCTTCTCAGTGCTTTCACGTTGCCGTTAATGCGAGAGCGAAGATTTACGATGCCATGGGAGTGTAAAAAGCTCGTCTGACGCGCCCTGGGAGAAATCGTGAAATCGGGAAGGAGGCTTTGTTTACGATGTTATAAAGCATTTCGATCTTCTTTCGAGTTACCCTCACGCTTTGCTTTTCTCGCGGCTTCCTGCTTGAATTTATGATATCTGCATTTCCAATCATATAGATTTTCCATAATCATTTTTTTTTACTTATCATGACGAACGCATTTGAATGTCAATTTATCAATTTTTAGTGATATTGATGACCTGATTATTTGCTTCAGACAGAATAATTTTAAAATATAAAAAATGAAAATAGATCTGAAAATAATTTTGCGGACCATGAAATAATTATTTTAAGAAATTCAAGCATGATAAACAATAGCGGTCAATACTGCAAAAAAATTTGACATTCTAGCACTTCAGCTTAAGTGTTCTACATAATTATTTTGATAGTCTAACAAAATTATTTTCTGTATTTAGCTAAATTAGTAGATACGAGTACTTCAACAAAATTGTTCTTTCTATATATTTATAAAAAAAATTTATTACAATGATATTATTAGAAAAAGAATTGTGTCGAATAATTACTAATAACATCGATTTTCAGTGAAAATAA